ATTCAATGACCATTTTGCAACAATTCAATAGAACTTAATGACTATTTTTGAAATATTTGATAAACTTTAATGAATATTTTTGGGAGTAACAGTTATAATCTTAACAATCACTTTTGTAAGTTTTAAAAGCTCAATGATCAAAACAATCATTTGAGTATAATTCAGTGACCTGTAATGTGTTTTATCCATAAAAAATTTAAATTATACAATATACATGATTTGGATGAATATAAAATATGTCAATCCAATACCATCAAATGTTTGAATCAACTGACACGAATTATTTCAATTTAATTGTGATTTAAAATTTGAGATCCTGAAAATACATTATGTTACGATATTATATATTCGACTAAAGAACCTTATTTTCTTTATGATTTTATTCATTATTTAAATCATTAATTTATTTTTAAAAAAACCCCTTAATTTATACGTGTGATTGCATGAAAACACGTCATAAACTTTCCTCAGAACCGTTTGATGCATGGGCAGTCTAAGTTTAGGAGAAGCTTTTAAGAGAATACGTTATATTTTGTTGGTTAATATTTTCTATCAGAAAAGGGATAAAAGTGTGATTATTTTATATTTTAGTAGGAATTCTTCAAAGAATTATTTATTTATTGATTTTCTATTAGAAAAATGATAAAAGCATGGTTTTAGAAATTGCGTGATCTTTTTTTATTCCATCTTTGGATTATTTATTTATTTATTTATTATCCATTGAAAGGTCAAAGATTACTTGTTTAGGGTTGTGCTTTGGTTGTATATGTGAAGTTGATTCATTGACATTTTCAATTCATTATTTTTATTGTATTTTACATGCCACGTGGATGGATAAACTTGACAGCTTGTTTTATATTGATAAATTTGAATAGTTTACTGATCTTTTGAATTAAAAAATTCCCCCAACGACGGTGAAAACTATAATAAAAGGATACGAATACTTAATAAAAATTAGAAATTAAATGTTTTATTCATCAATACTAACTGTCAAATCAATTTGAAACAAAATTATGTTAATCTTCTAATTAAAATAAACTTTCTCACTATTAGAAATGATCGACAACCATTCTGTTTATCAGAGAATTAGCTTTTACGACACCTACCAATTTGAAAATTATGATTTTTAGAGCGAAAAGACTTTATCACACTAATATTTCTTAACAACATCTACTGAAAGTAACCGTAACGAAATCAAATTAAAATTTTAATAAATATAATCTAAGTTTTGAAGTTTAATGATTAAAATAAAAGCACCCTAAAAGGTTAGTGACTGTCCGCATACTTTACCCAAATATTTAATGATCAATCATATAATCAAGAATAAATTTGGACATCTGTCTTATTTAAAAATAAAAATATTCAAGATTACATTAAGGGTTTATCACAATCATCGTAAACTAAATACATAATTTGGACATTTTTCTATAACATTGAACCTAGTCACTTTAGATCATATATGAAAAAAAGTTAAAAACTCAACCAAGAGATTCGAACAAAAAATCGATACAAATAAATCTGACTGTATTAATAAACGAATCACAAAAGGGGGTTAAACTATTGAAAGACCACCAAGAATCGCAAATCAGAGTCAGGCGTCGTGAGAAACTATCCACAAATGTAAAATCGCGTATCTAAATTCAATCCAATGGTCCATAGCAAGGAAGATTAACAATATTACAAATAAACGTCATCTTGATTAGTCATGACATCATCAAACACAACCCTAAAAAACATAAAATGAAAAAAACAGTCAAACAACCGAGATGAACGTGCCACAAAGGCAGATATAAATGTGTTAAAAAGACAAAATTATTCCTATTAAAAAACTAAAAAAGAAACAAAGAGAAAAGAAAATCGACGGTCGGTACCCAACATCAAAATCTGTATCGCTGTCTATCAAAGAAGATTAAATAAAAAATTGATTTAATCTATAGAAGACTACACAAACTAAAAAAAAAATAGAGAGAGAGAGGAGAGGGAGAGAGCGGGTAGGGTTTCATCCACGTAGCTTAAATTCAGCATTACTGAGAAAAAGAGATGCAGAAATTCGTAACATTGCTCTTCTCCTCATATGTCTCACGCTTATTATTCATCTAGTATTGGTTAGCCTATATTTTTTTCGCTTCAACAAATTGAATTTTGACAGTAATTGTGTCTACCAATATTTCTCACATTTATTACCTGCTTCATCTATTACGTCTGTAGTAACCCAAAGTCAACTTTCTTACCAGAGATATTGTATAGTTTGATTTATTTGATCTTGAGATTTTGTTGCCAAAGTCTTATAAATTTAAGTGTATTTAAATAAATGATAATAATTTAATACTATTTCTAAAATATTAAAGAACTAATGACTTCGTTTGATTCAGAAGGGCTATTATCCTCTGATGAAATGCGCAATACACCACTTGTAAAGGTTTACCATATTGATCCAAGGCATAATGATAAACATAATTTGTTAACATTTATATAAATATTCATTTTGTCTCATTTTTTTTGGAGTATTGTATCTTTTAATGTTTTAATTTTTTAATCAAAATAGATTATATTTGATGAGAACCATTACTTGACTAACATATAGCTTATGTTGTTAATGTGACATTTATCATGTCTCAATTGAACAAATATAAAAATATCACGTCAACAATATGGGTTATCCGTGAGTCAACTAAGGGGGTGTTTGGATTAAGGAATGTGAGATTCCTATGGAAATTGAATCCACATTCTCATGTTTGGTTGGCTGAGAATCTCGTTCTCGGTAATGTTTTATTATCAATAGTAGATTTTTTGGGGTATATTACCGGGAATGTCATTACCTCTATTTCTTTAGGTATTGTTGGATTACCGGTGTTTTGGACTAAAATGCCCTTAATTTTTTTTTCTTTCAAAAATATCATTTTTCTGTCATTGAATAATAAAAATTCTACGAAGGTTAAATTACAAATTTATCCTTAAGCTATTTTAGATTTACAAAAAAAATTTATAATTAAAATTTTATATGAAGTTCAGGGGTTAAAATAAAATTTTACTTTTTCATTAAACCTTTTTATATTTTTAATTTTGTAAAAAAATATATAAATTTTATGAATTTAAATTTTTTAAAGAAAATATATAAATATTTTCTAACTTGTTAAAAAACAAATATATAATAAAGACAATTTGGTTAAATATACATTCCAATAATCTTTTATTCCTTTAACCAAACACGGTAATCTTACATTCCTGCTAAACCAACCAAACACAAAATACAACATTCCCAGTAATCTTATTCCCTGGTAATCTTATATTTCCACTGGTAATCTTACATTCCGTGAATCAAACGCACCTTAAGGGTTTCCATTCAACATGGTATGTTTTGATTGAGGAGTAAACTATTCTAAAAAAAAAAGAATAGAGAGTGATTGACTATTTATACAAATATTGAGGGTAATTTTCTCGTTATGCCTTGATCTAACTTGTTTCCTATTTTTCTCCTAAATTCAATATTATCTTTTATCTAATCTCGTGATCTTCGTCAAATATCATTGTTATGAAATTTAAAATAATAGATATACACAATTCTTCATTTTTTAAATTTACACTGTAATTTTAAATTTCTAAACCTATTACAATTTGCAAAATTATGACTCTCTTCAACATGAGACGTTGCATGTTTTAATTTCGTTTATAAGAAAAAAAACACCGCCAATAGATAAATATTATATAAGAGTCGCCCACGGTTTCAACAAGAAAGATGTTTATTATTTCACGTCTCTTCATTCTAAAAGTTCAAAGGCTGCTAACCAAGAAGGAGAAAAATTAGTATGCAGAATTACAAACAAAGAACGAAGCAGGCTGTAGATAGGCAGTGTGGTGGATGATGATATCTTAATATTATATTAGTTGAAGCAGCATTTTACTCCCTCCTCTTTTGCAATTCTTACAAATAATTTGGTACATGCATGAATAATAAAAGAAATAAAGTCAAGCAGCACACAATACTGACACGGTTCTTTGATGTTGACATTGGAAAGGGTTCTGTTCTTCGTTCGGTTCGGTCTTGGTTACGGATGATCAATCGTAACTTACAACTTGGCCTCTTGTCATAAACTTTAGTTAAATTATCTCAGATATTTTTAGTTTGGCTTTTAAAAATTCAATTCATTAATGATTAAATAAAGGAATATATACATATTAATGGGAAGACTTCGTCTGCCCATCAAACACGATTACACGACCTTAACATAATTCAATCTTTTTTATCAAATTAAATATGTAGTAAAAATGAAAGATTATCAATAAAATGGTTAATTTTGTTTCCATTATTATTTGCTATTAATTTCTTTTACCAAAAGGTGTGAGAATCCAAAAATATATTTTAATTTCTAAATCATGATATAAAATAAATCTAATTTAATTAGTATTTCTAGTAGATCTATATTTTTTAAGGATGAATATAAAAATTAAAACTTTCTTTGATTAATTATCAATTTTGATAATGATATCTATTTTAAAATTTTATTTGTAATTATTTCATTCAAAATTTTATATTATTAATATAAATATGTGTATTTTTAAAAATATTTATAAATCTGTCATTATATTATCAATATGATTTTTAATTAATTTATATGTGGGCAGTTGAAAGAAGACCTGGTTTCATTGGAGAGTTGATTTCAAAGAGAGAATGTCAAATAAGACGAGCTTAAAAGACAAAAGTGATTTAATTGATTTTTATTTTATTTTATTTATAAAAAAGGCCTTTGTTTAAAAGGGAAATTTAACAGAAATTCCCCTCCAACGAAGCTTCCCTGTCAAGTCCACGTCCCTTTTCACTTTTCCTTTTTCCTTTTTCCTTTTTCCCTATAAATTCTCTTCCAAAACCCCAAATCCTCACATTCTCTTCTTTCAAAAGAAAAATAAAATCATTACATTTATCCGATTAGTTAAACCAAAGTTTCGAACATATTCTTCCACCACCGCAGCCTAGTATTCTGTATTCCTTTATTGTTTTATCCTGTTTATTATTCAAGATGCTCAGCGATTTACTCCACGCCATCGCCGGCGACGACAATGGCAAGAAGAAAATCAGGGGCACTGTCGTTTTGATGAAGAAAAATGTTCTGGATTTCAATGATTTCCATGCATCTTTTCTTGATGGGTTTCACGAGTTGCTGGGGAAAAGAGTTTCGTTTCAGCTCATTAGTGCTGAAAATGACGATGCTGGTGAGTTTTAACTTTTAATCGATTCCTTATGTCTCTTAAACCCAAAATCAAAAGCTGCCATTGCTATTAATTTATAGTTTTTATGTTTTCTTCACACTTTTATACATACATACATACATATATATATATATATATATACACACATATTACATTCTTCTATGAAAAATGTAGTTTTCCCCGCTAAAAAAACAAAATCTTAAGACTCTTTAGATCATAATATTGTTGAGGATGTCGTTTATATGAAAAGTGAAAGACGTTTTTTTTTTCTTTTTTCCCAGCAACTGGGCAATACTTGGACCACTTATTTGAATACTTTATATATATATATATATAGGAATAGTATCCTATTACACAAATATTTTCATTTTTCACATAAATGACAAAATTCATTTTTTATAATTTAAATATATATATTTTTTACAAATTTCAATAAACATTATTCTAAAAACTATGCGTTTTATTTGTTCTGTTGTTGTAGCTAATGGGTTACAAGGAAAGCTGGGGAAACCAGCATATTTGGAGGACTGGAACTCTACAGAAACTTCCGCCGTGGCAGGCGGGGAATCTAAATTCATTGTTAACTTCGATTTTGATGAAGAAATCGGAAAACCGGGAGCTGTCCTGATTAGAAACAATCATCACAGTGAGTTCTACCTCAAAACTGTTACTCTCGAACATGTTCCAGGCCATGGTCGGATTCACTTTGTCTGCAATTCTTGGGTTTATCCCGACAAGAAATATGAACAACCTAGAGTTTTCTTCACCAACAAGGTAATTTCTTCGATACTCGAAGGGTGGAATTTCAGTGTGTTTCTTTGCTAAAACCATATTTTAAAATGTTTCTTTTTTCTTTTCCTTAGACGTATCTTCCGCATGAGATGCCTCAACCATTGCGTAAATACAGAGAACAAGATATGAAGGCCTTAAGAGGCAATGGCGAAGGAGAGCTTCAAGAATGGGATCGTGTCTATGACTATGCTTATTATAATGATCTAGGGAACCCCGACAAGGGACCCGAATACGCCCGACCGGTTCTCGGTGGATCCGCCATGTACCCGTATCCTCGTAGAGGAAGAACAGGCAGACCCTCATCAAAAACAGGTGAGGATCCGTTATGATATATATAGTTAGATGTTCTTATCAAGACAGACAATATCTTGATTTTGACAATGTTGCTGTAATAATTGAACAGATCCCAAGACCGAGAGTAGGATACCACTGCTGATGAGCTTAAACATATATGTTCCGAGAGATGAACGATTCGGACACTTGAAGATGTCGGATTTTCTCGCTTATGCACTGAAATCTATAGTTCAATTCATTGTACCCGAGCTTCAGGATCTAACTGATAAAACTCACAATGAATTCGACTCGTTAGAGGATGTTCTTAACCTCTACTATGGCGGAGTTAAGCTTCCTTCTGGACCTTTGCTTGATAATATCATCGACAACATTCCCTTGGAAATGCTCAAAGAAATTTTCCGGACTGATGGAGCACAACTTCTTAAATTCCCTGTGCCTCAAGTGATTCAAGGTTTGCATTCAATCTATTACTGATTTCAGAGTTAAATATAAAAAATGGGACCCGTCCTACTTCGTCGCCATCTTTAAACGTGTTCGATGCCCCTCTTACATAGATTTTTCTAATGAATTTGAGCAGACAGTAAGACTGCATGGAGGACCGATGACGAATTCGCCAGGGAGATGCTTGCCGGAGTTAACCCTGTTATAATTCGTCGTCTCGAAGTAAGCTTTAAGCACCAAACTTTCAGGTCTCATCTTTTATATGGAAATCTGTTAAACTCTGCAAATTTACTGCATTTTCGATATGTTTTGATTTCAGGAATTTCCTCCAACAAGCAATCTAAATCCTGAAGAATATGGTAATCAAAACAGTGCCATATCCAAGGAACACATTGAGCACAACCTTGAGGGACTCACCATAGAAGAGGCTCTGAGAACCAACAGGTTGTTCATATTGGATCATCATGATTCACTTATGCCGTATCTGCGGAGGATAAACTCTACAACGACCAAGACTTACGCATCTCGAACCATCTTGCTTTTACATAATGACGGGACTTTGAAGCCATTGGTGATTGAGTTGAGTTTGCCACATCCTAATGGGGACCAACTCGGTGCTGTTAGCAAGGTTTACACACCTGCAGAACATGGGGTTGAAGGTTCGATATGGCAGTTGGCTAAAGCTTATGTTGCTGTAAACGACTCTGGTGTTCATCAACTCATAAGCCATTGGTATGGATATACAAATTAGCGATCATATATCGATTTTCTTTGATTTTAGAGGACTTATGTTTATGCTCACGGTCTTTTATTTGTTTACAGGTTGAACACTCATGCGACAATGGAGCCATTCGTGATCGCGACAAATCGACAGCTGAGTGTGGTTCATCCGATTCATAAACTTCTCCACCCTCACTTCCGCGACACGATGAATATCAATGCGTTTGCTAGGCAGATTCTGATTAATGGAGGTGGAGTCCTGGAAATAACAGTTTTCCCTGCAAAATATGCAATGGAAATGTCATCACTGATCTATAAGAGTTGGAATTTGGTTGACCAGGCACTTCCTAGAGAGCTCAAGAAAAGGTACATTTAGCTCGGATACTGAGTTTTTTTTTAATGTATTTAGAGATTTTCAGTTGCGGAAATAACACGTTTTCGTCTTTTCGATTCAGAGGAGTTGCCATTGATGACGAGAGTTCACCAAATGGTCTTCGCCTGCTGATAAATGACTATCCGTATGCTGTTGATGGATTGAATATTTGGTTTGCAATTGAAAAATGGGTGACGGATTATTGTTCGTTCTACTACAAGACCGATGAAATGGTTCGACAAGACCCTGAGCTTCAAGACTGGTGGAAAGAAGTCCGAGAGAAGGGCCATGGTGACAAGAAAGACGAGGCGTGGTGGCCTAAAATGCAGACTCGACAAGACCTGATCGAGTCTTGCACCATTATCATATGGGTGGCCTCGGCTCTCCATGCAGCGGTTAACTTCGGCCAATATCCTTATGCAGGCTACCTTCCGAACCGCCCAACTATAAGCCGTAGGTTCATGCCTGAAGAAGGCACTCCGGAATATGCTGAACTCGAGTCGAACCCAGACAAAGTATTCTTGAAAACAATAACAGCTCAACTGCAGACGCTCCTCGGAATTTCCTTGATAGAAATCCTGTCGAGGCATTCATCAGACGAAGTTTATCTGGGGCAAAGAGACAGCACCGAATGGACGTCGGACGAAACACCGCTTGCAGCGTTCGAGCAATTCGGACAGAGGCTTTCGGGGATAGAGGAACGGATTGTATCGATGAACAACGATAAGCAGTTGAAGAACCGTGTCGGTCCGGTGAATGTGCCATACATGTTGTTGTATCCAACCAGTGAAGGAGGACTTACAGGCAAGGGAATTCCAAATAGCGTATCGATCTGATGATCTTCAAAATTCCTTTAACGATGACCAATAAGTTATTTTATTTAATTATACAGTTTGTAAACAAATAAATCCTTGTTATTACTTCGACAAATAAAACTTTACAGACATCCGATGTCTGTACAACACTGTAAGAACTTTCATGTTATTGTAGTTTCCCTGTACACTCCAACACAAAGTAAATTATGAATGATAAATTATTATTACTTGATGAATTTTAAGAAAATTAATTAAATTAATTATTGCATTTAAAGTATTATATTTATTAAAACTAAATCCACAAATGACTATAGTTAGAGTGATAATATATTTGTATATAAAATTCTTTGAATTTAAAAAGATATTTTTTAATTATTTTATTTAAAGATTAAATAAAATATAAAAAATATTATACTTTAAAATAAGATATAAAAAAACATTTAATCTTAAAATGTGACTATTTTTTCTTCCTTCAACGTTGCTGCTTTATAAATTAGATCATTATCATGTGGATTTGTCTTTAAAATAAACATTTATGATAAATTATAATATAAATAAATATAATTTATTTTAATAAAAAAACTTGAATTTCCTTTATAAAAAAATCATTATCATGTGGATATTTTACGCTGGTTATTTTTCGTCGTTTGAAACCATTTGAAATTTAATTTAAAACGGATAATTTAACATTAATAATATGATTTCCTATGTGTCTCTTAAAAAAACTAATTTTTTTAAGAAAAATCAAGAACTAAATCAATTAATTAAATTTTAATTTCGTATTTAACCAAATTAAACCAAAGAATGGAATTTTTAAAACCTCAAGGGGAACTAAAAGAAATTACCAATGAAAGTAGGGACTTGTTTGAAAATTAGCCTAGAAAGATTTCAAACTTAATCTGCTATTATCATCCGCACAGAACTCAAACCTATATATCGTCAACATCAGATCACTTATCAGTACTTCCACTTGCGACGTGTACGGTGATTAACAACTATTCAGCATCCCATTAATAAAAAAAAGGCCATTTTAAAAAATAAATAAATTAAAAATAAACAAAATATTCTCATTGGCCAAACCACCTTTATATTAAAGTTTCGCGGCAACGCCACTATTCGCTCTCTCAAAATTCTGTTTTCTTTTTCTTTTTTGAAAATTTCTCTAAGTTTAGAGAACTTTATATTTCTTAGATGTATTGATTCAGTAGGGAAGAGGTCGAAAATTGGTAAGTGATATTGTCTCTGATCTGTGAAGTAGGGTTTAAAAGTTAAAATTTTGAAACCACCACTGTGGTTTTTTTCTTCTTCTTTTGCGATTTTGATAAGGGATTTTCTGTTAAAGTTTGAAATTTTAATTCCTTTTTACAAGTATTTTTGGTGTTCTTCAGTGGGTTTGAATCGGTTTTCAAAGTGACTTTGTGGAATAAGCCAAATTTGCTTTGCCTTTTGGTGGTTTTAGAGCAGCATTCTTTTGCAATCTTGTCTTTTTAATACGTAAAAATTTAAGTGTTTCAATACTGAATCAAAAATTTTAATGTGCGTTTGAGATTTTGCATTGTTACTTTCTGTTGGTTCTTAAAAAAATCAAAACTGTTTTTTAAGTTCATTCTTAATTGTTAACATCGATTTTATATTTGCACTATCTTTTTTCAAATTTCCCCTTTTCTTTTTAGAGTTTATGTTTTATGATGAAATGCTTCAGATAGAGAAAATCATTGATGGCCCCAACAAGAAAATCTAAAAGTGTGAACAAACGGTTTTAAGTAAATATGAGCTCTCTCCTGTTAAAGAAGCTGGAAATTCAAGAAAAAGTAACCCACAGGTAGGCGTTTTAAGTCATTTTTCACTGATTATTTGATTAAAGATCAAATTATTTTCTTTTCTTTGGCTATTTGGCGAATACTCTGTTTACTCGGCATCATCATATGCTAATTGTGGATCGTTTTGATGCATGTACCCTTGTATTCTATGCTATAGAAGAAACTATTTGACAAGTTAGGGTCTCCATGGAGCAAGGCAGAGATCGAACGGTTTTATAAAGTTTACCGAGCATATGGGAAAGATTGGAAGAAGGTATACGTTGAGAACTGTCATAGATATAGGAATTGTATAAGCATAATTACGTAATCAACATGTTTTTTTATTTGTTGTTGCTCATGTTTAGGTGTCTGCTGTTGTGCGTAATAGATCAACTGAAATGGTGGAGGCCGTTTACAGTATGAATCGGGTATGTTTAGGTCTCGATGTAGCTTTAAACACTACTCAGTTATCCAATTCATCTTTGGTTTCTTAATCTTGTCCTTGGATGCTTATGAGTTTAATGATGTTTGTTTCTGAAATATTAAAATGGAAAAAAGAAATAAGGGAACTTCGGTCTTAGTTAACTTATTATTATTTTAAACTTTAGTCTGGTTTCTCAACTAGAACTGCTATAATTTAATGCAGATAAGAATTTGGTCTTCATTTCTACAGTATTCAAAAGGTTATGTGGAATCATGTGCTTCAAGGACATTGAATACAGTTGCATTCTCGGCCTTCATTTGCTGGATGAAAACTGAGACTTGCTTTAGTTTGACTATATTTGTTTGTAAATACCATTAGTTAAGTTAATGTGTTCTTTCTGTATTTATTTCCAGGCATATTTATCCTTGCCAGATGGAGTAGCTTCTGTGATTGGCCTTATAGCAATGATGACTGATCACTATAGTGTCCTGGTGAGATTTGATTTAACATTTTGAATAACTGTAAGAGTCTGATAATTGTAGCCAGTGTTGATATCAATGAAAGCTATTTAGTGCGCTTTATTTTTCCAGTAGCATATTTCTCTCTGTTATGGAGTGAGCTGCTTCCTTTTTAGACTGTATTTTTGCTAACTATATCTGTTCAATTTTAGGCTTGCAGAATAAATTGAACTTTTAATGTTCTTCCTCTTATCTACTGGTTAAGGGTTGAAACTTTTTGTACCATGTCGACTTACAGGGAGGGAGTGATGTGGAAAGAGAGAACAATGAGCCTTCTAAAATACCTCGACAAGCTCAAAAGCACAAGCGGGTAAAGGCTCATTGTGATTCCTCAAAAGAGGATTTTTCCTGCCCCAATCAGTTGCATCTAGTCAGGGATGCTTGCCTTTGTTGGAAGGAATAGGATTTAATGGTAAGATCCATTGCTCTTGTTAGCATTCAATAGCAGCCATCTATGGTTATTCTTCAATTTGATTCCTTTATTAATCACAAGTCTCTGTAATTTTTACATCCCATAGTTTTATCTCTCATTTTGCAATGGATGCAACTGAGAGACTGAAAAAGGGAAGTTAAAGTAGTTGAAATTGTCCAAATATATGTGGGAAGCAAATCAAAGCATGGTGCTTGAAGTTTTTTTTATCTGTCACATAGATGAGAGGTATAATAATATCAGGAAGAAATGTTATTGACTGGAAGGGGAAGAAGTAAATAAATGGTACCATAAATGATCTTTCAGTCTCCAAAATGGCAATAAAAGAGGAAACATAATCTTTACTTGTTTGTTCGATTACATAAGATGATGATGTGTGGATGCTTTGATGTGGCAAAAATTGTACTAGGAGGATTCCTCATTGGGTTGATAACTGACAAGCTAACGTTGCAGCTTTCTTTTCATGTATATATATGTATATCAAGACTGTCTAATTTACATTAATGTCCTCTATGGCAATCCATGTTCTGTTGCCTATCTATTGGTAAGCGAGTGTTTGAAATTAGCATCATTAGCTCAGAGAGCAATAAAGACCATTCACTAACTAGGAACGTTCATCAGTGTCCATGGGACTAATTGGAATTTGATAAATTATTTGGTTTTGACTGTGGAATCATAATTTTCTTAACAATGTCAACTTAATATAATGTTTAGTAAGCATAGGAACTGTTGATGGCTGTCTGCTGTCTGAGTTTATTACAATAATAATCTTCATAATTGTGATTGAGGTCCTTATTTGTTTGAATTCCTTTTAGGTGTAAATCTTCATGCAGTTAGGAGGAGGACTCGGGTCCCTGTTTCATATTCATATAGGAGAGATGACATCGAAAGTTATGATCCACCAAAAAAGAGAGTTAAGAAGTCAGAGGCTAATGATAATGATAATGATAATGAACATGTCAATGCAGTGACTTTGAGTGGGGCACTGCAAAGAGAAAGCTCCGTCAGTTTTCTCAAAAACATTACACCAAAGCTGAATGCAGAAAATCTACACCTGTTCAGAGCTATGATCATATGGTACAAAATCACTGATCTGAATTTATAACATTATGGTCATCTTGCCTTCATTATCTATGTAATAATTTTATGTTTGTTTTTTCTATCGATATGTAATTAGTTGTTAGAATCAGAGACAACTAAGGCTAAGCATCCTAGTTCTTCCTATGAACGCCGGATGGCGTTCAGGTTTTGGGGCAAGGAACCTGTCATTGGAACTTATAGAAGAGTTGCAGGCCCCATGGTGAGTATGGAAGGTGCTGCTACAGGTGAAGTTCATCGAAAGGGAAAAAAAATTCCCGGAAGAAAGTGAAAGTTGATGAGATCATGAACAATTTATCTGATGATAGTGGAGAAGCACATAGTGGTGCAGAAGAAGGAATTACAGATACCGTCCAAGGAAAAGTTGATATGGAGATTTCCCGTGCAAAGAATAAACTTTCACCATGGAGTCAGAGGAAGAAAAACAAGAATATTGTCTTGGGAAGTATGAACTTGGGATCTGGGATTGAATAATGTGAAATTCTACCTATATGAGGCACAAAAAGTAGCTAAAGAAAGTTGGGGGGGGGATGCAAAAGTGTGTTGCTTAATTGTTCAAAGCAACTTTCTTTTTTCAGTTACATACGAGCTCAACTTCAACTTCCTTCTGACATTAGCCAAATTGTCTACATCAATGTTGCCAACATCAACAGTAGAATCTGGTAGGTGTCAATTGCTTCTCTACTTCAGTTTTTACTGATTGAGTGTCATATATGATATAGGGTTTCTTGTCACTTATCTTGCTCTAGTTACTCATTATACATTTCTTCTGTTCCGTTTTCTTCATGCATGCTGGAAGAATACATTATTCTCATTCCTTTCGTTGTTCTGTGTTTGCTTAGAGTCATCTGCTAA